CTTTACGTGCTGATAAAGTGCCCGGGAGTGAATCCATTCCAGGTAGTTTTCGCCTGCACCCCGATGGCACCTGCCGAGCTCCCAGTCAACAGCCCTAAGGTTGAAGTCACCCATAACGACTAATCTGGACGAACTTCGGGCTAGGTTGTATAGTGCCTGGATAGTCTGTTGGTCCTCCAGTTCTGTGGCACTAGGGCCCCTATACACACAGGCAATGGATAGCTTCCTACTTTTTATGATTATATCCACTGCAACTAGCTGCAAGTTGAGAGTGGAAACCTTGGTACTCGATTCCACTGAACACAGGTGGGATCTTAGTAGTAGAGCTACCCCCCTCCCTGTACAGATCTACCCTATCTGTGCTGAAGATTACAAAGTTATTTTGAACCATACTAGGGTTGGGGTCACTCTCTGAGAGCCAGGTTTCTGTTATGGCTACAGCAGTAGCCTTGTGGCTCTCCGCTGCCATCAGGACCTCAGCCCACTTGTTTCTGACACTGCAAGTATTCGTATACAGCAGTGTCATCTCCGATTGATTTTTTATTTGGAATTTCTCCTCGGGCCCTCCGCCCGAGGAGAATCCACGTTTTTTGTGTCCTGTCCAATAACCTCCTCGTGTGGGGCTGCACATCTTACTGTGCAACCCTGTCCCCTGGTATCTATTGCCCTCTTCAGGGGCGTGCTTGTTGCACAGGTGGTGTCCCCGTGCCGACATTCTCTGTTGCTTGACACTGAAGTTTGACGGCAATTTTGCCATTCTTCTTCCATTATATCTTCTACTATGACTACAGCTTTATTGCTTACATGGTTAGCGCTACCAAGACCCACTACCCGCTTTTCCGCGCGCGCATGCTGCTGGGGTTTTTCTCCATTCTGGGGCCTTATAGGCTGTCTTGGGTGATCGGGGACTAACCTATATCGTTCCTGTGTACGATTTTCTATCCAACTGGCCCTCGTGAGGAGCAGATCTCGCATGCCCTGATTGTTGAACTCCATGAAGATCGGCCTAGCTGAAATGTGCCTACCCGGCACAGGATTCTTCCACACTCCCATTCTGTGCACTCTTTTGAGGGCATTTTGGGGGTTTAATCCTGCCAGCCGCAGGATATCTACCGCCCTCCTTCTATCCATTTCCCTCCGGGTTTTCGACTCCCGGATCAGAGGCTCTTCGTTGTTGAGTATGAGTATTGTTCTGTTACAGTTTCTCAATCCCCTGCCAGATATGGCGTCTAACTCCCTGCTGAGCAGGTTTACCTTGTTTTGGAGTTCCAGAACCGTGAGGTTTTGCACTCTCTTCTGTAGTGGAGGGTTCTGCGCACTGATCGGTGCACGGATACCACTAGCTCTGAACTTATTTCGCGGTTTCTCTTTTGCGGCTGTGTTTACTCGTGCGGAATTTGGTCCTGGCTGTGAGCCTTGGTTTCTTCCTCCACCGCTCCCCTGCGTGGTAACGGCTTCAGCATAGCTTTTGGGGGTAACTTTACCCACTACACTTAGACCTGTGGACTTCTGTTTGTGGACTGTTTGAGGAGTTTTCTCCTCTCCTCCCGGCTTAGCACTGAAAGCCAGCCACGCTGCAGTCTTGCAAGTTGTACACATCCACTCCAAGTCTGCATACTTACAGAAAAGACTGTATGTTTCAGGTTTAATACCAGAACACTTCTGGTGTGCCCAACGCTTACATACACTGCATTCTATGCCTCTAGCCACTTTCTTGCCACACGCAGCATCCAAACATGGAAAATTAACCTTGGGCATTTTAGCGAGGGAATAATACGTAGGCAAAAATAAAATGCGGGTAAAACTATAAACGTGCGACTCTTGTAGCGGAATACAGGTAAAAATTTCGAGAAAAATCGTCAAAACACTGAA